GTGATGGTGATACACTCTATTCTTACCAACTGCAGCTGATCTGCACTCTTTCACAACCGCTCACTGTATGAGGAGGGAGGGGGAAAAGAAGTTCTCACGGTAGTTTGTCACCTGCTGTCCATCAAGTCTAATAAGATGCATTGCGAATAGGATTTTTCCATCCCTTCAGCCTGTTGAGAAAAGGAACACAATTAACATGGTCTCTACTCATCTGTTTACAGAGAACTCTATGCAGATATTAAGTCTGGCCTGTGCATGGTGAGATAAGTACCCATGTCTTGATTTTTGCTTCAAATCTGTTGATAAATGTTTATGTTCTAGTTAAATTTGATAAAACATTTCATAGAATGGCAATGGAAATGACAGAGAAAAAGAAAATGTGATGAGAAATCCTTTAAGGTGGGTCCTATTATTATCCAAAGAGGCAGGTAAAATACCTTGTCCAAAGGCATCCTTGACAGCAGGCACGCGAACCCAGGGCTCACTCCAGAACACAAGCACTTATCCTCTATTCTGAGCCATCTGTTTGCATACTCTCTTTGAAAAAAATCTACAAAACCTCTTCTACCCATACGGAGGAATTCCAAAATTCAAAATCTACATACCAACTTGGCATGATTTAAGAGGATCCCAACATCACACAGATTGTGAATGCAAATGACTTGCCTTCTAGTCACCCTATAAATTTAAATGAGACATTGGCAATTACTTCTAAAACATAGATGGGATATAGTTTTCCATTCAGATGGAAAACCATTGGGCATTGCCAGGAGGGTGAAGAGGATCTACTAGGTCTTGCCAATAGATTTAACCAAGAGAAAAATCACTTTCTCTTTCCTTTTCAACTATGAATTTCCATTTCATTTATTTAGAATTCAAATACTTACCTTCACTAAAACTCTTTGGGTGACGGCATCAGAAACAGCAGGTGAGACAGCTGTGACTGTGACAGGAATTTCTCCCAGGTGTGCTGGTGTAACTGGGAAAAGAAGAGTTGTCCCATCCTCACTGGGAACCAGGACGGTCTGCTGGGGTCCTGGGGCAATGATTTCATTTGAAGCCATCAGACTATCAAAATCATCACTCTTCTCTGTGATCACCTTAACCTGGAAGAAAAAATCATCAAAGGCTTTCCATAATAAACTTCCTCAAGAAAATGTTGCTTTTGGTGTGGTTCAATCTGTGAGGCCCAAGCTTAGAGAAACATGAGACAGAAAAGTTCAGCCGAGGAGAGGGTGAAAGCATATCAGAAAAGAACCTCATTTCTTTCCTATGCTTTTCCAGTTTACCTTAAGCCATGTGGGGAAAGTGCATTCTTCAGTTCTAGTTGTCACATTAAACTCCCATGAACATTAAATTCTCTCATTTTCCAAAGCCTGTGAGTGGTAAGGGTGTGCCCAGAAAAGGTATTGCATGTCATGGTATTGCCACCGGCCTGACTCAACTGTGTCATCCTGGGACTCTGGTCCCATTAGAAAAACCTGACGCCAATAGAATTGAAATGTTATTTACCCTCATTGAAAGTCTCTGCTAAAATTATTCCCAAAAAAGTATGACTCAGATATTAGTCCTGGAAGCGTATATTGGTTGTACATTTTTGTAAAGTATCCCAAAGTTGCTAGGCTCATGAAGAATAGCATTTCTCTGGGTCTAAGATTTTATTAATTGTTTTCCCATTTATTTTCTCATCTGTTTCTCAAAAGATTGCCTTGGTAAGCATCAGGGTGCAGACACACGGG